CCCGCCCCGGGTGGTCCCAGAGCAGGCCTGGCTGCAGCATCTCCACTCTGCCCCTCTTGCTCATACTGAGGCCAGGCAGCCCGCGCCCCGTGGGGCCAGAGGCTGGCAGGAGGCTCACGCTGCCCCTCTCTCCGCAGCACCCCACTGATGCTCGGTGTCTACATCAGCATCTTCGTCATCCTGGCCAACATCCTCTTCGTCTGCGCCGTCTATTCCTGCATCAGCGTGAGTATCGGCTCCGTGCGTGTGCGTGTCGGCATCCCCTGCTCCTGCCTCAGTGCGTGTGTGTGTGTGTGTGTGTGTGTGTGTGTGCACACACGTGTGCACCCTCTGCTCCGTCAGCGTGCAGGCCAGCTCCCTGTACCCAGGTGAGCATAATGAGCTCACTAGGGTGCTGAGCCCTCCGGAGGCTGTCTGGTGGTGGTGTGGGGGGAGGGGAGGACATGCAGGAGGGCCGGGGCCCTGTCCTGCTAGGGGGCAGGGCATGTGGGGAGGTGGCTCCTCTCGGGCCAGACTGATTGGGGCTGTCGTGCGAGGCCGGAACCCCTTTCTCAGCCCTCTTTCGCCCCCACCCCAGCTCTTCCCCGCAGCCCTGCAGCGGGTCTCCCGGAAGATCGTCCACTCCCGCACCCACAGCACCTTCATTGCCGTCTTCACCATCCTCCTTGTCTTCATCTCGGCCTTTGTCAACATGGTACAGCCCCGCGGGGGAGGGGGGGCCTGCCGGAGGGGGGCGCGGTACAGAGTGAGAGATGGGGTGGGGGGATGCAGGGGAAGCTGGGTGTGTGTGGGGGGGAACGTGGTACAGAGTGGGAGCTGGGGGGGATTGGGGACCTCACAGGGGGGATGCAGGACAAGCTGGGGGGGCACAGTACAGAGTGGGTGCTGGGGGGATGGGGGACCTCACGAGGGGATGCAGGGGAAGCTGGGGGTGTGGGGGGGCACAGTACAGAGCGGGCGCTAGGGAGACCCCACGGGAGGGACGTGAACAGCTTCTCATTGTCTGGGGGCGGTGGGGGGGGTGTAAGTGGCTAAACTGGGGCACCCCAGGCACTGTCCGAGATGACACCCCAAGAGACCTGTCCCTTGGCTCTGGGGTGCTGCCTTCCAAGCCCCCCCCCAGGAGAGGAGGGGTTCCCGGGGTCCCCCCACCCCGGCGCCGTCCCCATCGTCCCCTCTGGTCTCTCCGCAGTTCGCCTGCAGCCATGTGCCCCTGCGGGACTGCGCCGCCCGCACCCTCAATGTCACGCCCGAGGCCGTGGGGCCCTGCCAGCTCCGCACCCTCAACTACTCACTGGGCTCGGACGCGCCCCCTTGTGACGGGGACGCCCTGGCCTGCAACTTCCCCGAGGTGAGAGCCCCCGCGAGCCGGGGGCGCGGCGTGCAGGGCACAGCTGGGGGGAAGTGCAGGGTGCCAGGGCCCTGGGCGGGATGTCTTCTTGGGGCGGGGGATGGAGCGGGCCCCCTTGGGCGGTGGACGGGGGTGAGGATGGGAGTCCGGGGTGGAGGTTGGGCCCTACAGGGGTCTCCCAGGGTGTGCGGACACTGCAGTGTAAGCCCCAGGTCGAACTCGGGCTGAAGCCTGACCCCCGCCCATTCCGTCTACACACACAAGTGGTGCTGTCCCAGGACCCCGCGGGGGGGAGGGGCCGAGCCGGGAGCTGCGGTTCCAGCCCTGTTGCTTTGCAGTGTAGACGTGGCCCCACTGGCCTTGTGCTCTGGGCATCAGCCAAAAGGATCCGACTTCCGGTGTACTCTGGATGGTCCCATTTCCCCCACGAGCCGGGGCGAGTGCGGCTGGCCTGGGCGCAGCACGCGGGGTAGACCCAGCGTTCACGATTCCCATCCTGGGGTTATGGATGCGCAGGCCCTGGGGCTGCCACCCGGAGTGCACCCGCCCTGGGCTCCCGCTGCAGCACGGCCGGACCCTGGGCGCCCTGACGCCGCTCTGCCTCCCCCAGTACTTTAACTACAGCATCGTGCTGAGCCTGCTGGCCTGCTCCGTCTTCCTGCACATCAGCAGCATCGGGAAGCTGGGGCTCATGCTGGCCATCGAGGGGCTGTACCTGGTGCTGGCCGAGGGCCCCGAGGCGCCGCTCTTCGACAACTACGACCTGCTGGTCGTGGCCAACGCCCTGTGAGTGCCTGGTGCCCCACGGACCTCTTCTCCCGCCCCCCCCGAGGGCCAGGGCTCTCCCCCCCGGGCCGGGCTCCATTTCTCAGTGCACCCAGGACTAGGAGTCACCTGCCTCCAGTGAGCGGGAGCCTTGCTTGTGCGTGTCTGGTGCAGGTCCTCAACCCCCCCGCCCTGTCGCCGCCCAGACACTCCTGTACCAGCCGATGCCCCCTGGACACGGGCAGAAGCCGGCCCCAGTCTGAACGCATCGGCACAGGATCGGCCCCTTGCTCCACACCGCAGCGCTGGGATTTGGGTAAAGGGTCTCGCCAGAGTCTGGAGATCGCAGAGTTCATGAGCGAGGAGAACGGAGACCAGAGGGCTGCAGATCAAATCCGAGTCCACTTCCTGGCCACCGACTCCACCCAGCCAGCCCTCTGCGGCCACCTCGCAGCTTCCAGCCAAGGCTGGCTGAGGGCCCGTTTCTAGAAACGCAGTCACGCTGCCGATAGCGTCCTGGGTGCAGGATCGAGGGGCATCTCCCTCACCTGCTCCCTCTGTCCCCCAAACTCACTGCCCCACAGACAGGATCACCCCCTGGCTTATTCCCCGCTGCGGTGCCACCCCCCCCATTGACTTAGGATGTCAGTGACTCCGTGGTGTGAACTGACGTGACACACACACACACACACACACTCAGGTGAGCAAACATCTTTTCTCTGGCAGAAAACCTGTTTGTCAGCTCTGCCTGGGCCAGACTTTAACATGCTCTCGGCTCCGTGCGTAACGCCCTGCATATCCATCTCACGAGGGCCGTAACGACCAGTGTGACCTGGCTTTCATTTCACACCTCACGTGAGACTCTTTGGTGACTCGGAATGTACGGCCCAGGGTCAGGATAGTGATTGGTGGGGGCTTATGGGTCACATCCCCCGAACCCCAAGAGGGCCTGAGCTCTGCTCCCCCAGATACCTCCAAGGGCCCAGCCAGACTCTTGGGGATACCTTGTCCCTGTCCCTCACTGGGCCCCGCCTGTCTGCCGCTGGGGGTTCTGGACTGTGCCCCCCACCCAGGCGTGGGGCTGTGGGGCTCAGCTGTCTGTAACTGCTGTCTCTTCTCTCTGCTAGTCCGGCCTTCAACGAGACCCAGTGGGGCCCAGCATGGTGAGTGGGGAGGTGGGCTCGGGGGAGCTGGGGAATGGGGTGGGGCCTGGGGCAGGTGAGGGACATATGGGGATTGGGCCGGGGGGTATTAGGGTGGGGTTGGGCCTGGGGCAGGTGAAGGGGTTGCAAGGGAACATTACTGGGGGGCCGGGGCAGGCAAAGGGTCTGTGAGGTATTGTGGGGGGTTGGGTCTGGGGCAGGTGAGGATTCTGGGGTCCCCCAGGCCTTTGCTGCATTGCCCTGTGGGGTACGGCTAGTGACCAGCAGGTCCATGGCTGGGGGCAGTGAGTGCTCTGGGGATCCACCCCCCTCCGGCCTTTTGTGCCCTGTGGTCTCTCTGCCCCCAGCTCGGGAGGGTGGGTGCTTTGGGGTCCCTGGTGCCTTGCTGCAGCCTGACCCCCCCCCCCCCCCCCCCCCCCCCGGCGGGGGGGAAGGTGGCGCGGAAATACATGACCCCCGTGATCCTGACCGCCTCCCCCCGCGCGCGATCGCCGCACGCTCCGCAGGGGGAGTCCACGGCCCGGCTTGACTTCCTCTGGAAGCTGCAGGTAGGGAGGGGCTGGGGTCCTGGGGGAGGGGGCATCCTGGGGGGTGGGAGGCAGGTGTCTGCTCCCCCCCATGGAAGAGGGAGCTGGGGACGGGGCATCCCTGGGGTGGGGATCTGCCCCCCACCACAAAGAGGGGTGTCCCTGGGGCAGGGGGGCAGCATGTCCTGAAGGCTGGCACATGCCCTCGTGTCGCACGCTTACAGGAATCCTGCACTTCTTACCCTTCGCACGAGGCTGGCCAGCCCCTCCCCCAGCTGCCACCCTTGCACGTGCACGTCCTGCTCTGTGCTCGTGCGCCGGCAATGCTGGCTGCTCCCAAATCTCCCTCGGGGCAGAGCTGGGGGGGCTCAGTTTGGTGCTGGCCCCCCCCCGTGGAGCACTGCTGGGGGGGAGGCCTCAGGATCGCTTTTGGTGCTGCCCCCCTAAGGGGGAAGGCTTGGGGGGAGGGACCATTGACTCCCCCAACGGGACAGGGCTTGGGCGGCCACCCTGACGCTGGCGCCCCCGCAGGCCACGGGCGAGAAGGAGGAGATGGAGGAGCTCCAGGCCTACAACCGGCGCCTGCTGCACAACATCCTGCCCAAGGACGTGGCCGCGCACTTCCTGGCGCGCGAGCGCTGCAACGACGAGTTGTACTACCAGTCGTGCGAGTGCGTGGCCGTCATGTTCGCCTCCATCAGCAACTTCTCCGAGTTCTACGTGGAGCTGGAGGCCAACAACGAGGGGGTGGAGTGCCTGCGGCTGCTCAACGAGATCATCGCCGACTTCGATGAGGTACCGGGCGGGGGGCAGGGCCGGGGGCCCACGGGGGGGGGCCGGGGGGGGCACCGGGGGGGCGGGGGCGGGGGGGGGCGGGGGCGGGGGTGGGGGGCAGCGGGGATGTGGGTTTTGAGGGTGCGGCGACAATGGGGCCTCTGAGGACCCAGGACCCAACTCTGCCCTGGGGGCCAATGGGATATGGGGGCCACGGCTCGGGCCCAGCCCTCGGGAGAGGGGTGGGTGGGGTCCCAGCCCACCAGATCCAGCCCAGTCTGGGAGCGGCTCATGGGGCGAGGGTCATGGTGGCAGCAGGGTCCCGGTTCTGAGGGGTCACCAGGGAGGGTCGTGTCCCCTGGGGCAAGAGCGCAGTGTGGGGTCCCTGGCGAGGGTCGTGCATGGAGGGGGGGACCCGCAGTGCCCCCTGCCCAGCCCTCCTGTAGCTGCTGCCCCCTCCCCCGTCAGATCATCAGCGAGACGCAGTACCGGCAGCTGGAGAAGATCAAGACGATCGGCAGCACCTACATGGCGGCCTCGGGGCTGAACGACAGCACGTACGACCGGGAGGGCCGGACACACATCACCGCGCTGGCCGACTACGCCATGCGCCTCATGGAGCAGATGAAGTACATCAACGAGCACTCCTTCAACAACTTCCAGATGAAGATCGGTGAGCGGGGGCGGGGGAGCGCCGTGAGCCACCCCCCCTCCTCCAGCTCGTCACTGGCCACTCCTGGGTGCTTCCCTGGGGACGCGCAAGAGCCTAGGCATATGCATGTGTGTGTGAAGACACGTTGTCACGCGTGTGCGAACGATCATGCGCATGCACAGCCCTCCCTCCTGAGCCCATTGCCCGCACGGGCTGCTGGGACGTGGGGGCTGCTCTCGGAGGGGGAGACAGATGGGCTGGGTGGAGCCCGGGGCCATGAGCTCTGACCCTCCCTCTCCCTGCAGGGCTGAACATCGGGCCGGTGGTAGCGGGGGTCATCGGGGCCCGGAAGCCCCAGTACGACATCTGGGGGAACACTGTGAACGTCTCCAGCCGCATGGACAGCACAGGGGTCCCTGACCGCATCCAGGTGAGTCGCCGTCTCGTCCTGGGCCATAGCGTCCGTCGTTCCCGTGCGGCTGAGCTGACGGGGACGTTTTCGGGGAAGGGGGGAATTCTCCAGCCCGCCTGGGGTGGGGCGTCGCTCGGCAAGGAACCTGCCGTCTGATCCCTCTGCTGGCCCTTGCCCAGCCCTGCGGAGGGAGAAGCCGGCCAGAGGGGGATGCTGCTGACCCCCCACCCCGACCCCCTCCAAACACTAGTGGGGGGAAGGGGCAGGACGTATCTCTGGGACTGAGCCGCTCCTGATATGCTGTTGCATTCTGGGTATCCCTGGTGCGCAGTGAGTCGCCGACGCATTCAGCCTCCCAGGCGGGGGCTGGGATCCTTGGCCCCTTTTTCTGAGGGAGGACGGGCCTGGCCCCGGGCTCTAGAGACAGAACCCAGGCGTCCTGGCTCCCGCTTTACGCTCCACTCATGGGTCTGCTTGGCCTCAGTCAACGAGGGGGCAGCTGGTGAAGGAATGTGGGGGAGGCACTGGGGTGCTGAGCCCAAACCACAGCGTCCCCATCCCTGACACGCCGTGGGCCGCTACCGCGACCCCCAGGTCCCACTCGGCCCCCACTGCCCGGCTGCTTGAGCTGGAGCCTGTCACAGACTCACAGATCGTGTCCACTCTTGGCCCCGTGCGGTCCGTGGGGGGTTCCCCTTTCAGTGCGACAGCCCTTCTCGGGGGTCCACTCTCTCTCGGGGTCAGGCCCCTCCACCTCCTGGATCCGCACCTCTCTGAGCCTTAGCACGTCTGTCTCTGCCGTGGGCCCCCTCAGGGAGTGCACTCGCTCTGGACCCCCGGGGCCTCCACCCTCAAAGGGGTCGATGCCACCCTGTTCTCTAGACCGGAGTGACTCTCAGCCAGCATGAAACAGGAGGGTTTATTGAGAGTTGAACACAGCACAGGAAACTCCCAGGGCCTCAGGCCTGGCCTCCCTCAGCCCAGCACATCCCAGTCTCCCTGCATCCAGGTGGGCTCTGCCTGCTCCCCCTCTCCAGCCCCGAGCCCCCCTGCTCCCAGCTGGGCATCCGAGATCACCGGCCCCAGGCCCCCCCTCTGTCCATTGTCTTCTCTCCAGGTAAACAGGGTCGTAAACCGGGGCCTCCTCTGGCTGGAACCGGCTGGTTAGGTCACTGGGTCCTCACTCTGCAGCCCATTGTCCGCCCACTGGCCAGAACGGCTGCAACTCCTGAGCTGGGTTTCCGGGTCGGGGTCTCAGGTCACCGGTCGCTGGGGTCTCCATCCTCCAGGCCATCGGCTGGGGTCCCAAGTTCCCTCTCCGGTCCTGTGTACCAACAAACTCCCTCTCCCCTCCCCTCCCCTCGTTAAACCAGTAACACCCAGGGAAACTGAGTCCTACCCCCTTCATGCAAACCATTGAAACCCCACCAAAAACAAGAAAATCCCCCACTTCGTCACAGAGCCCGAGGTCACCTTGCCCGCTAGGAGCCTGGCGCTGCCTGGGGGAGCGGAGGAGGCCGGCTGCCCCGCAGGGCTAAGAGCCAAAGGTCCCGGGGTCACTAGCAAGGCAAAGTCTTAGCAGGGCAGGCGGATCTGAGCTGCCCTCTGGGCCCGCGGGGAGCTGAAGCACTGGGGTATGGCCTCTCTCTGCCCAGGGTAGGCGAGGGCACCGTTCGGCCCGTGCCCCACGTGGGGTCCTGGTCTCACCGTCTGCTCTCTCTCCTCCTCCGCCAGGTGACGACCGACCTGTACCAGGTGCTGGCGGCCAAGGGCTACCAGCTGGAGTGCCGGGGGGTCATCAAGGTCAAGGGCAAAGGGGAGATGACCACCTACTTTCTGAACGCCGGCCCGCCCCGCAGTTAGCGCCAGCCGTGGCCTTGGGCGAGAAGGACCCAGCGTGCCAGAGGGACCGGGCGGGGCTGCCGCAGGTCGGGCCTGGGCCAGGCTCAGCCGAGCCATTGGGAACCACCCAGGCCTGGATGCCCCCCACCCCCGGCCTCGGGTCCATTTTATTTGTGGGGGCTTGTAAACGGCTCCGAATTTCAACAGCAAACTGAAGAGGGAAAGCACCGCCACCCCGAGCCCGCTGGGGGGGTGTCTCTGCCACCAGGCCTGTGTGGCAGGGAGGGGGGTTTTGGAGGCACCCCCTGGGAGCGTTGAAGAAATATTTTTACAGCAGACTTTTTATTTATTTATTGAGCTCCGGAGCCAGCGTGTCGGGGGTGCCTAGGGCGCTCCGTGCTGGGGCTGGCCCAGGGCCCCTCTCTCCCTTTCCAGGGACTGACAATGAACTTGGGAAAGATGAACCCGTCCCCGCCCGCAATCGACCAAAGCCGAGGGCAGCGGGGGGTGCCCATTGGCTGGGCAGGGGACCCCGCTGTTGTCTGAGTGCTTGCACCGGGAGATCCCTTGGGAGCTGCTTGCTGTGTTTGGGGTGGGAGGATCGTCCCCTTCCGGTGGGGCTGGGGGCAGACTTGGGGGGAGAGGGGATTTTAAATAGATTTATATTTGAGGACTCTCCCCCCTTGGCTCCCGTTGGTCCCCCACCCGCTCGGTGTGACTTTCACCAGTTCTGAGGCCTAAGCCAGAGGAAGGGTGGGGGCGGGGGCAGGGGGGAGGTGGCTGGGCGGGGCTGGACGGTTCTTATTTGCCAAAATTGCCTCCTGTTGCTGGGGGGAGGGAAGAATGTCTCCGGGGGAGAAGGGGCTAAATGTGTGTATTGGGGGGAGGAGTAGCTCTCAAGGGGTGGGGGCCTGCAGGTGTCTTATGGGGGGGCCAGGGAGCGACTCCCGGAGATAGGTGACGCCAAAGAGGATGTGTCTGTGGGTCCATGGGGCTGTGGCAGGGCTGGGGGCAGGAGCTGAGCCCCCCAGCCTTGGGCACCAACCCCCCCCCCCCGCGCTGTGTCCAGTGAGGCTGGGGTGGGGGTATGTGTCGGAGAGTAAATCTTGCTGCCTGCTCCCAGCCTGTTGGCGGGAGGGGGGGTGCTTTCATCTGGCTTGGGACCCGGGCCCCCTTCAGCTTCTCCTGCCACTTCTCAAGGTTGGGAGGTCCCTTCTCCAGCTGGGACCCAGCCCCCCCAAACCATTGACACCCCCACGGGCCACGCTGCCCATGTGCCAAATTCCCAAGTGCCACAAAGCCCATCCTGTCTCCGGTTCTGATCCCCGCCCCCTGAGGATCGGCCCTGTGCCCCCACCCTCCCGAGCATTACTCCCCGCCCCCCACGGCCTCCCTGGCGAGCCAGACCCCCCACCCTGACCATGGGGGGCAGGGGGCGCCAGCTACCCCTTATCTGAACAAACGCCTCCCCCAGCTCCAGCGGGTCACTGGTCTCCCGCACCCTTGGGCTGTGCCCCCAGGGAGGGGCAGTTTACCCCCAGATCCCCAAGGGAGAGGAATTCCCCATGTGAGGAGCTCCCCCCACCCTGTGGCTCCAGGCACAGGTGGGAGAGGGGGGTGTCTTCCCCCCCCCCCGGCTAAAACTTGAAAATACAATGTGGAGGCTCGGAATTTGCCTGGCCTCGGCACTCCTGGGTCCCGGACCCCATGGGGCTGAGTCTGTGGGTGCCTCCTGCCCCAGCTGGGGGTGGGGGGCTTCCTGTACAGTGACTGCAGGACCAGCCTGCCCCCCTCCCTGGGTGTGGGGGCCAGGGCCAGTCCCCTTCCCCACCCAAGAGCCTTACTGAGCAGCTCCAGGGAGATGGGCCGAGTGCCTGGCACTAGCAGGTGTGGGGCAGGAGGGTGGGTCCAGGCCCCAGGCTGTGGGGTTATTAAATAACTGGGTGTTTGCAGCTCCCTTCAGCCCCTCATGCATCAATCTCCATGGAGACGCCAGGGCCTCTGAGCGTTTTCATCAGCTCCTTCCTGGGGCCCCGGGGGCGAATGTGGCCCAGCGGGAGGCTGGGCTGGGGGCGAGGGATTGGTAACTGTGGGGTGGGGGGTGAGGTCAGGGCCACGCTTCCCCTGCCACTGCTCTGCCCCTTCCCTCCCCGACGACGCTGCTCTGGGGGGGGCAGGAAAAGCCCCCAGGGACAGCTGATCGGTCCTGCTCTGCCTCCCCCCATGCCCACCACAAAGGGGGGGGCATAGGCCCCTTTCCGCTGGGAGGCTGTTCTCATGCTGCCAGCGTGCCCTTTGCCCCCGGTGCAGCCAGATCTCCCCCTAGCTGGAAGGCCCCTCTCCCCCGGCGTTGGGCCGAGCCGGGAGTAGCGGGAGCCCTCCACGCCCGGGTGGGAACCGCCTGGCTCCCTTGGGGCCGGGGCTGTTTTAAATGCAAAAAAGAAGTGATTTCTGGGTTTGGTTTTTTTTAGCAGTTTTGGGGTGTTTTTATTTCCGTGACTGTGTCTGGGGAGTTTTCAGCCGACGTCGGAGCCAGGCGAGCTCGGTCCGGGCCCAAAGCCGTGGAGTCTCCGCTCCTTCCTGGGCTGCCCCTGCTGGAGGGGTGGGGGGCGCGGCAGCTTTGGACTGAAGCCCCCGATGAGAGCGGCGCTGTCGCTGTGTCGGGGGAGGGGGGACGTGGCACTTATTTGGCAATGCAGATTAAAGGTACTTTTTTCTTGTGTGTACATATAAATTATATATAAAACTCACTTTCTATAACAACTGCTGTGTCCTGTCCCCTGGGAGCGCTGCGCACCGTGACATGGGCTGCGTCCATGGGTCCGGCTGGGCAGCTGCCAAGCGCAGGGCCGTGAGAGGCGCTGGCCACGGAGCCTTTGAATTCATGCACTTTGACCGTGTTGCTTTGAGCTCCTGGTGGGCTTGGCTAGGGTGGCTCCGTCTGGCGGCGAAATGGGACGATTGCACAGGCCCTGGCCTGGCTGGGCCCCCTGGGGCAGAAGCGGCCCAGGTTGCAGGGTTGGAGCGTAGGGCATTGGGGGGCAGTCTCACTCCTGGGGGTGCACTGCTAGCTCAGCACCCGCGGGGACAGCCAGGAGGCAGTGGCTGTTGGTGTCAGTGCTCTTGCCACAGGGCTCAGGGACATTAGTGGGGGGGGTGAGGGGACTCAGAGCTGGGCTGGGGGCTCTTGATCTGCTATGTTCCCCTGCCAGAATCTCGCCGGATGGGGTCTCCCCCTCCCCCCACTGGCACCCCTTGGCTCCTGCTGCTGCTGGGTGCAAAGGCGACAGGTGGCCACACCCTGCCCAGCCCGAACAGACGCCAGGTTGCTGCTAAGCTGGGGCGGCGGGGGAGCTCTTTGGGGAGAGGCGGGTTGCTTTATGCGGTGTGATGGGGATGCTGATGACAAGCAGAGATGAGCACTGAGGGGGTGAGGGCTCAGTCCCCAGGCCTGGTGCTGTCACTGACCCTGGGAAGAGCGGCTTGGTTGTGGGTGCCGCTAGCTTTGGCGCCCGATGTTAGTAGCCTCCGGCCGGGCGCCAGGTGCGAAGGGAAGCACACGGCCGTGCTGGGGGGGGGAGCTTGGCCTGCACTCACCCAGCGACGCTCAGCGGGGCTCAACCGTGCAGCCTCCGGCCCTTTGTCTCCTGGTTTCAGGGGGCAGGATGGGTGGGCAGAGGGCTGCGGGGGCCAGGGTGACCGGCTCTGGCAGAGCACCCAAGAGGTGCGGTGGCTGCACCGGTCGCTGGAGGGGCTGGGCACAGCTCACCATCTCTCCCACTGCTCCCCCGGGGGCCACACCATGCGTGCCCCGGCTGTCCCACGCTCACCTGCTCTTGGACTTTGCTGCTTCGCATCCCTGCCCAACCCTCCTGCACGCTCCCCCGCCCTTACTGCACACACTTGTGCTGGGGTGGGGGGTGCCCCTGTGCAAGGGACCCTGGTGAGGCCTCGGGGAGGGGGTGGAGAGGGCCCCCTGGAACACCTCTGCCTATTCTAGTCCACACAGGTTCTCACCCTGCTACTTGGGCACCAGCCGCTGCGCCCACCACCTGTCCTGTGTGGTCCGTTCTCTTCCATCCTCCTCTGGGGTGGGGGGTATTGTGCAGACGGGGCAGGGGCTTGTTTTGGAAGGGTTTGGTTTATCTGCCCATACTGCTCTGTGGTGATGGTGGAGAACGTGCCTGGCACAGGGGCTGGGGAGGTTGGGGTGGTCCCTAGTTCCCGGGGTGTTCATCCCAGTCTAGGACCAGCCACGAGCATGCTCTGGCTCCTACGCAGCCGGGCCTGGCCATATGGTGCCCGAGAAGCGGAGCTCTCACCCACTGCTGGCGCACAGCGGTGGAACTCAGTGCACCGACATTACCCAAGTTGGGGGCAGCACTAGGAATAGAACCCAGGAGTCCTGCCCCCACAGGGCTCGCGTGTGCCAAATGGCAAACCCCAGGAGCGCTGGGAAGAAAATGGCCTGGCCCTGGCACCTGGGGCTGGGTTCTGCGGCAGGGCTCCGTCTCCATGCCCCCTCTGTGCCATAGGATTTACCCCGCCAGCCACGCTCCCTCCCCCACCATAGTCTCCTACCCCTTGCCCAGGCAGAAAGGGAGACCCCAGTGCCTGGCGCCTCCCCATGAAATCATGGTCCTGGGCCCAATTGCCTCGATCGCTTTATTGCCCCGGTGCCTGCCAGGCCCCAGCACCCGGGGCTGCTCTGTGTCCGTAGAAGGCCAGACGTGCCCGGCGGTGGGGCCCACTGGGGTGCTCAGAACAGGCTGAAATGGGGGTTGCTCAGGCCCATGCTGTCCACAAACCTAGGGCAGAGAAAGGAGCCGTCAGATGCCCGCCCCAGGTAGCTCCCGTGCACGAGGAGGCGGCGCCGGGCTACGGCGGGATGGGTGTGCCCCAGTGCTGTGGCCAGCGCAGGAGCCCCAGGGGGGGGAGGGGGGTCCCCTCTGTGGGGCCTGCACACTGCCATGCTCCAGCGCCTGCTTTGAGGACCCTGCGGTCAGGTGGGGGCTGCGGCATCAGGGCCTCTTCATCTGTGGCCAGGGTCTGGGGAGAAACCCTGCTCCCATCCGAGCTCAGGCCTGGAGCCCAGAACCTGCGAAGGAGGGAGGGGAAGGGAGAGGGAGCAGTAGGGGCTCGGGGTGGGGGCTGCTCTCTCCGGCTGGCAGCCACTGATTCAGGACCTCCTTTGTTGGGGTGCTGAGCTTGGGCCCCATTTCCAGAGTGCCCCCTAGAGCCCTGTACATCCAGCCCCCCGGGGAACTGCTGCTGGGAATGTGGCTGCAAGGGGACATGGAGGGACCCAGCGCCCGGCCTCCTCCGCGGGGTGGCAGCTGGTGCTGCCCACTTTGTGGGAGGTGGGGCAGGGCAGGGGGCACCCCCCAACTGGACCGCAAAGCCGCTCTACCGCTTTAAGGGCTGGGGGCATCATGTGATCCCCCCGAGCCGGGACCCGAGGAGCGATGCTGCCAGCCTGCCCCCCCCCCCCAGGCCAGTCGAGTCAGGTCCCTTTGTATGGTGCGTGGGAGCGGAGAGGGAGCTCCTGGCTGTGGGGGCCCATGGGCGGCAGCGGCTGGAGCCACCCCGTGCGCCCCGCGCCAGCCTTGAACTTTGCCCGCTCTGGCACACCAGGCGGGGAGCGGAGCCGCTGGTGCCCTGCTGCCCCCCAGTGGCTGCTGGCTGGGCCAGGCTCGCAGGCAGCCCAGGTGGTGCCTGGCAGGACAAAACAGGCAGGGACCCGTGCCAGGACTGGCCGCCATGGGCACTGCTCGCAAGTGTTGGGTGCGGGATATGACCCAGCGCGCCCTTGGAGCCAGGGCTCTGGTAAGTTGGATGCTGCGCTCAAGGCTCCGCCACCTTGCCCAGGCATTGGCCCCAGTGCCAAGTGGGTGCGAGACGCCCCTGTGGTGTTTCATGCCTGCTTTGCACGGGGGCGATGGGCTGTGCAAGGAGCAGTGGCAGGGAGACTGCTGCTCAGCTGGGTCCAGGGTGGCTTTTCGGGCATCTGCAAAGCGTGGGAGGGTCTGAGGTGGCAGGTGACGGAGACCATAGCAGCTGGGCTCATGAGTGCTGGGTGTGTGTGTTGGATTTCAGGGGCCCCTTGCTGATTGTGGAGTTTTCTGTTGCCTGTGTCTGGATTTGTTCGGGGCTTTGTTTGTTTAGGTTGGGCTTTCCCGGGGTGCCCGACTCCCCAGCCTTACCCCTGCAAAGCCGGGGCCTGAGGATCCAGAAGTGACCCAAACCTAAGTCTTCAACGGAGTGAGGTGTGAGAAATGCCCCATAACCCCCCTGCCTCGGCCTGGTGGAGCTGAGAGCTGCGGGGACCCTCCTACGCTCGCCCTGCAGGTGATCTGGTCCCCGGCAGAGCCGGAATACCGCGCTGGCTGGGCCCCTGCTCTGGCTGCTCCCCTCACCCGCCGTGTCCGACTGGCCCGAGGAGAGGCTGCTCTCATGCATTCCCCTGCCACAGGTGAGCTCTGGTCCTGCCCGGGAGAGGGGCCTCACTAAGCAAACTGGGTGCGGATGCTGGGCCACCAACCTCGGTGGGAGCAGGGTCAGACATGCTATGTCCCTGGGATGGCTGGGGGGGCGCTTCCCCCCTCTCCCTGTCCCTCCCCTTCCCCATGTGCTGGCAGCTCTGTGATGGGGTGCTGTCCCCTCTGCTGCCGGCACTACGATCTCACCTGGTCATGGGGCTCCTTATCAGGGGATGCCTCGGCACCGTCATCCAGGGGGTGGCCTCCTCTGCTCGGACCATGGGATCCCTGGGCAGCCACCAGCCGCAGTCCTGTGCACAGGTCACTGGGACCCTGAAGACTTGGTTGGGGGCTAGAATCAGACAGAGGGGAGGGTCCAGGCTGTTAGGGAGGGCATCCAGCTTGTTGGGGTCGCTGTCACTTGCTGGGGGGAGGGGGCAGCTGAGCTGGGGCACCCTGCCCTGAGCACAACAGAACAGGAGCTGGGGCTGAAAACCTCTTTGCCCAGCAGCTCCCACAGCTCCAAGTGCTTTGCAAAGGCCAACGAACCACGTCTCCCGCTGGTGTGTGTGTGTGTGTGTGTGTGTGTGTGTGTGTGAGGGGGGGGGTTAGTATCGTTCTCCCCATGTGTAACGTGGGGAAAGGACTTGCCCAAGGTCACACGGGGAGGCTGTGGCAGAGGCCGGCCTAGAACCCAGGCGTCCTGATTCCATATTCCTTCTTTTGTCATGCCTAGACCCCACTGTTCACTTACATCTCTGGAGCTGATTCTGCTTCACAGCCTCTTGGTAGCGGGTGTAGCTCCCCTGGTGCACTGTGCCATCAAAGCGCCCCGGGCCGATGGGGGGGAGCTTTGGGTGAAACAATCCCCCTTTGAGCGGCTTTGGCCCTGAGTGGAAGGACAAGAAGGAAACTTAAAACCAAGCCCAGAAGATGGCACCAGCAGGGGGCTCGACGCCTAGTGTGGGGGGCTTTGAGTAGACACCTGTCCTCCAAGGACTGGACTGAGACCCACTAAACTCGTTTCACAGCCGAGCTGTTAGCCGGCCATCAGCAGTGGATGAGATTCAGTCCCTGCTGCCCTGAGGGGGTTTGAACCCGGCCCTTCTGCAGGCTCAAAGAGCCAGCGAGGAACAGTGATTCCTGCAGGGAGACCTGGCCAGCCCTTATCTGGCAAGATGGTGCTTGGAACATGAGGCCAGAGGCAACCTAAAGGGGGCTGGAAGAGACTCTCCGGCCCCCATCCGTGGGACTGGGAGCTCACGGGATTGCTGGAACGCTTTGTCAAGTGATGTGGTTTAGGGGGGTTGTATTATAGGTTAATTAATACCAATACCACCCCGTGGGGTGACTGGAGAAGGGTTTTTAGTAACTGACACATGTCAGAAGCAGAACGTTGTATCCCTCCCACTCCACTGGGACACTCCTCCAGGGGACCAGGGGTCAGAGGTTTTCAAACATTGCCCAAGGAAAAGCCTCGTGATTCGTTGCCCCCACAAAGAGCCACAGTCTGCTCTCCAAGGCGCCTGGCCCAGCAACGAGTCGCGTCTGTTTCGAATGCACCCATCACCGTGACGTCTGGGCTCTCTTCTTACCTGTTGCGTCAGGCTTTTCTAACGCAAGTGTTCTCTCCCAGAAGGGCTCCTGGTACCCCAGGAATGTTAACCCGAAGAAAGCCATGTCCTAAACCGCCCACTTCCTCCCCGCTCAGCCACCGAAGGCGCTTCCCAGCCACCGCCAGGCTCTGCAGCTGTTGATTCTGTTGCCATAGAGATGCCCGGCAGCCTGGCTGGTGACTCTCCGCCCGCCCAGTTGGAATGCGGGTGTGTGAGGCTGCAATGGGAGGGGGTTGCGACAACAGCCTGCGGCCTGGGTTGGCTTTGTATTGTTTTGTTGTATTAATTCGGGGGTAACTGAGAGCAAACTCCAGGAAGGGGTTAAACGGGGGAGGGTTGGCCCCTCCAAAACCCTCTCCAGCTCGGGGAGCTTTGCTCACGTGGTGTTTGTCTCATGGGGAAGCCCTGGCGACACGATTGTACCTGCGCTCCAGCCGCCTAGCTCGGGGTGGAAAATAGGATTCGGAGCCGCCTCTAGCCCATTGCTTTTAATCCAGTGCGGATTGATAGGGACTAGGAGTCATTCCAATCTGACGGCTGCCTGGTGGCTCCGAGTGAAATAACCTGGTGTCCATCCAGTTCTGTGAAAACGCTGTGTCATTAGGAGCCATGAAACAGTTCTCAGGGTCCTTGCAGCGGCCTTAGTTCTATAGGCATAGGGTCACTTTGGCCTTCAGCCTGCTGAGGATAGATTATCTCTGGGATGAGCCAGTCAGCAACACGGATCTTTAGAAATAACCGTCTGGAGTCCTTGGTCACCAATGAATTCCCTCTCTTTCTGGCGCTGCCAGCCTGCTCCTGTCTGTATTTTGGTGTCTGTATTTTGGTGTTGCTGGGTGTGTGTGTGGGCCAAAGCGTCTGGCATCCTGCTATCTGTGGCATTTCTCAGGCACTTGGAGATGTTTGGTGTCTAGATTATAAGACCTTCAGGGTGCAGACTGTCTCTTTTCTATGTGCATACAGTGCTCAGTAATGGGGGCCCTGTCCCCCCCTGAGGTTTTGGGGCACAACCATCATACAAACATTTAATAGTAGAAGGGAATGTGAGAGGACTTGTATGATACAAGGAAGAATCCAACTTTCCCAGCAGTCTTCCTTGTCCCCTGTTATTTCGTGCTGGCCCCCTGGTGTAAACTAACATGGGTAACATAGGATTTGCCATGGCTGAGCAGGGCTGTGGTTCATCTAATCCAGCACCCTGTCTCCAACAGGGGCAAGTCCCAGGGGCAAGACACCCTGAAGTGAGCAGTTGTAGAATAACCTTCCCCTAAGGAAAGTGCCGTCCTCCCCCTGACACTGAGTGGAGGGTTCGGCCCCATAAGCAGGTGTTTCTGTCTCTTGTAAAATACAGATTTGACTCTTGTGTCTGTGCATGTTCTCACTAGCCATATAAATGGCTGATCCTTTTAGCTCACCCCGCTGAGCTTTTGCCCTCAGTTATATTCTGTGGCAGTGAGTTCCACTACTTGTGCTTTGTAGAAAGCGTTGTCTCGGCAGACTGAACTGTCCTTGGTTGTCACCTTTCCGCTGTAATAGGAGATGGCACACCCAAGTTCCTTCTCCAATGTTTACTTGACACATTTCCGTCATGTCTCTTCTTTCTTCACTTAGTCCAAGTCCTTTCAATCCCTTTCTGTGTTTTCTCCAGGTCTGTAATCAACCTCATTACCTCTCTCTGAATCCCCTACACTACCCACTGTCAGAACAAGCTATAGGAGAAACACCACATCCCAGGCAAGGGCCCCCCAGGTGTAGGGTGGCACGTTATTTTCTGCCCCATTCCTTAGGACCCCTTTTATCTTGTTTGCTTCTCTGAACACTGCTGTGCATTGAGAGGGGCAGCTCTCACCCCTGAGCCAGCCACTGGTATATGAGTAAGGGGTGGAAGCTGGGTCCCGGCTGGTGGGAATCAGACAGGCTGGGCTAAAGACAGCTGTGATTGTCCATGGGGTGGCCTGGGGTCACAGGTGGGGTCACTGGGGGGCTGGGAATATAAGTGGGGTTACAGGGGTGATGGGGGCTGGGGTCACAAGTGGGGTCATGGGGTCACAGGTAGGGTCACTGGGGGGCTGGGGATACAAGTGGGGCTATAGGGGTCATGGGGCTGGAGGTCACAGGTGGGGTCACTGGAGGGCTGGGAATATAAGTGGGGTTACAGGGGTCATGGGGGCTGGGGTCACAAGTGGGGTCATGAGGTCACAGGTAGGGTCACTGGGGGGCTGGGGTCACAAGTGGAGCTATAGGGGTCATAGGGCTGGAGGTCACAAGTGGGATCACTGGGGGGCTGGGGATACAAGTGGGGTTACAGGAGTCATGGGGCTGAGGTCACAGGTGGGGTCACTGGGGGGCTGGGAATATAAGTGGGGTTACAGGGGTGATGGGGGCTGGGGTCACAAGTGGGGTCATGGGGTCACAGGTAGGGTCACTGGGGGGCTGGGGATACAAGTGGGGCTATAGGGGTCATGG